CTCTCTCTCTCTCTCTCTCTCTCTCTCTCTCTCTCTCTCTCTCCCTCTCTCTCTCTCTCTCTCTCTATCTATCTGTCCCCTTTTCTCTCCCCCTCCCCCTTTTCCCTCTCTATATGATAGGTTGTGGTATTTAGCGATGATTATTCTCCATTGCTATCCATGCGCCTGTATATTCGTAATGTTTGGGACATGACTCTAAGTTATTACTCTCTTTGGCACACCAGTAATCTGTCAATCCCTCTCCCAATTTCTTAATTTCTTTATAATTCTTAATTATATTAATATTTTATATAATATTTTATGCGCTTAAAGGGATTTAGTGCCCAGAGCGCACTAAAAATGAAGCTCTCTCTCTTCCCCTCTCCTCTGTCTCTTTCTCTCTCTCTCACTTCCTCTTCCTCTCCTTCACTCCTTCTTTTTCTCCCTGCCTCTCTCTCTCTCTCTCTCTTTCTCTCTCTCTCTCTCTTGTCTATTTCTTCCAGCAAGTTAATTTAAGCAAATGAACTTAAGATTCCTACTGCTTATATACATATAAACCTGCTTTTATTTTTGAGAAGATTCGTGCCGAAACTCGATGAACATGTCCTTTTAAGATTCCCGGCTACTCGCCGCAGCCATTTTATTGTATGACATCAAAAACGAGAAAATACGCACCCAAAATTTTTGCAAAATACATAGAAATAAATATACGTATCTGTAAAACGCTGACACTTGTAATCGATTGAGCATACAAAACAGTCCGAACACTTTCCTTTTGCTCTAATAGTCAATAAATCACCGTAAAATTAATGTAACAAAATAATGAGAAAATATAGCTTAAAAAGGAGGGTTGCATATCACATTAATTTTACAATGATTTATTGGTTATTAGGATAAAAGGGAAGTGTTCGAACTATTTTAAAGATACGCTTGATCGATTGCAAATGTCATTTCACACGTATATCTTTTTATTTCAACGTATTTTGCAAGAATTTTTATCGTATATTTTATCGTTTCTGACCTCATCAATCGAGAATTCCGCGGCGAATAGCCAAGAGCTTTAACGAAGTAAAATTAACACGGACTGCCTCTCCGTACAGTGAGTATAAGAGATATTTGTACATGTCATTTTTTCAGAGCAAGAAGTCATATAGAGAAGAAAAATATTGCTGCGATGGAGATTCCGACAGAAACACTCCGCGAGAGATATTTATCTCTTCCGCGCAAATTTATTCCGAAAAGGATAAGGTACGCAAATATACCCTTTTTGACTCACCGCAAATATTAGCTGACGTTAACTAGGATTCAACCGATTCTCCCTGTCTCTCGCTCGGGGATAACGCTCTCTATCTGCTGCGTAGACTCGCTTAATTTTAATTTTCTCGCACCGGTCATTACGACACTCGCGCGCTCTCTGCCTTTCCTCGGCATAACCGATCCTGCAAAGTGCAGAAAATAGGATAACGACGTGGCGTATTAAGTTGAGGCGTGGGAGTAGCGCGCATAAAAGCCCTCCGCCCGAACGATTTCGTCCTAAACAGCGAGTCCGAGCATAAATCTCCATCGCGAGAAGCTCGCGAGAGCGACGACGGGGTGAACGGTAAAAAGGCATCACACCGACAACAACACCGCGGCACACCTTCATTCACTCTCGGGAGTTTGAGTCGAGATCGGTCACCGGTTTACAGCCAGCCTGGCTCATTAAGGCACAATGACGCATTCTTCGCAGGAAGCGGTCGGTAAACTGGCGCGCGAAGGTTCGTTATTAATGACGCGTTGCGGCGCGAGCCAGCGTGTAACTCGCGTAGTTTGCCGTGGCCGCCATGTGAAATGCCGTTCTCCAACGGGCGACCAAAGAAGAGAAAGAAAAAGGCGGAGGAGAGGGAGAAAGAGGGAGTAGAGTAGAGTTTATTAATGTCCCCTGGAATTCAATGAATCTACAGTTTACAGTAGACACACAAAAACAAAAGCGCAAACAAGCTACCAGATTTAAGGCGCGCAAGTAGAGATATATATGAGTAAAATGTTCTAATCATTGGGTAAGAACATAATGGAGCTCTAGATAAAAAAGAAAGGGCTAAGAAACATTCAAACGTTACATACAAGATATAATGATATTTAAGAAGTTACAAGTTAGGGCACGGGGTACGAGTAGCAGGTACAAGTTCATTCACTTGCGGAAAAATACAAAGAAAGAAACGAGAGAGAGAGAGAATACAGTAGAGTAGAGAGTTTATTAATATATATTAATATATAATAATACAATTCAATTCTATTTAATTCTATTTTTCATCCTATTTTTATATTATTAGCTTCTGGAGTACAAACAAAAGCGCAAATAGGATACTAGATTTAGAAAGGTAATCAGATATCCCAATTGTTCACCCTTTGTCTCGAATTTTTTCGAGTACTATTCGGGACACCGACTTATCATCATTTTCAATGATTGTCAAATAATTTTTCTTCTCCCCTCCCCCCGCACGCTTTACACATTTATGAAGTGTCTCGAATTCAGGGCTGGGAAATTTCTCTGCCGTGCCAAAGAGAAAAGTGGTTAAGTCATAAATGTAGTTAACCACTTTTTTCTTTAGCACGGCAGATCTGGTCACTTTATATGTACCGAAAGGAGAAAATTACTTACAAATGACGTCTTCACGATACACCCCGGCGATCGCACATCGTTTTTCTCGACACTTCCGAGACTTATTAACGCGCGAGACTCACTTTCGACGGATAAAAGACGCGAGAAACGCGGAGCGATGTGAGTCGATGTGTGCCTATGGCTGCTGCTTGGCGCAAAAAGATCGAGCATTTCGCGCGATTTACTACCAACGCCTAGATTGAATAACCACGATAACAACCTCGTAGTGCAAAACGAACGCGATTGGTTTAGAGTGGTTAGTAACTCGAGCAAATGGTTAAGGCGTCCGCCGTACAGATCGCGTCGTTGTAGACGCGCGACCTCGTTCGCATCACTGGCGCGTTCACATTCATGCACTTTTGGCACTTTCGGCGCGCTAATGAACTTTTGATGTACGTGATCGGCAGCGCGCGCGTCTACGATCTTTTCCGAGCAACTGCCATGGACACAACGCTCCGTATTCCATACGCCCTTCGCCTGTGAGTCTCCTGCGGAAATAAGTATTAGAGTGCCGAAAATAATGGCGTGCGATCGTCAGAACATATCGTAAGTATTATTAGGGAGTTATCTCCTCCTTTCTCGACACATACAGCTAAGGTGGCCAGACGTCCCGATTTTTCTCTCTTTGCCTCGAATTTTTTCGAGTGCTATTCGGGACACCGATTTCTCATTATTTTCAATGATTGTCAAATAATTTTCGGATCTTTTTATCCCCCTCTCCCCGCCCCCCGCTTCATACATTTATGAAATGTTCCGAATTCAGGGCTGGGAAATCTGATCACTTTAGATTTAAGAGTGTAAGTAGAGATATAAGTGACATTGCTGTGACCATTGCACTGCGAGTAATCCGCAATAAAATCCACCTAACGACTCACCCGCCGGAACTTTGGATCAGAAAGAAAAGACTAAGAAATATTCAAACGTTACGTACAGGATATAATGATAGTTAATGAAGCTACAAATTAGAACATGGGGAATACGAGCAGCACGGGAGGTACGAGCAGTAGATATAAGTTCATTTGCTTACGGAGAAATATAAAAAGAAAAAAGAGAAAGAGAGAGAGAAGAGGAAAGAGGGGAAGAGGGTGAGGAAATCATAATGAGAATTTAATTAACGGCGCATACATGTCGGGGCGAGACCTCGTGCGAGTCGCTTTCGCCGTCGCAACGAACGCAGCCGAACGCGTCGCGCGCAATAAAGCTCGCAATATCAT